ATCTTACCGAAAACGAAGCCTGGAAGTTCTTCCATTTTGTTACGCTGACGTATCATCAGCATAACTAGGCGAGTACCAGTGGAAATAACAAGTGGAATTTAGTAGTCATTTTGTGTTTTATTATCATTCTGCATTGTATTTCTATATGCTGTGGTGTTAAAATGTCAGCAGAAATGCATATCCATACAATAAGCGAGTGAATTAGATAACAGATTTTTCAAAAACCCTCTCATGGTAAGTTTATAAAAACTTGTATTACCATGCTCAAAAGTGTGACTGTGCACCTCAATGTCAAGCTTTTATATTGTGTTTAAAACGCGTACCAGATTTACTCACAGCAGGTTGTCATTCACGTGTATACACACTTAGCAAACATAGCACAATGATCTGAATTTTACAATTTCGTCCGAGAGCAAGTAATCCTCACTCATCAGACTTCGCGCATGCTCAGGAGAAAATCATCAACCAATCACATTTATAAATTAATTTTGCGCATGCGTCTTACAAGGGTGCAGAAATTCATATTTATAAACGAACCAATTTGAGAGAACCCGATATCAGTCGGAGAAATCTGACGATCTACAGAAATTCACTTCAAAAAATCAAAAGCGGACTGACGGTGTACATGTATTCTACTATGCTGGGATCTAAGATTTTCAGTATAGATAAAGTATTTTGGGATCTTCGAATAAGGTAAGTCTTTAGTACCAAAGGGCTTTGTATAAAAAACCTCCTACCTCATATCGACCTACCCACCTACGTGGGACATGATACGGTCATTGAAGGGTTCAATTTAATAATTTTAAATCTCAAGATAGCTGTAATTATTAACATTTCTACAATTCCGGCTTTATTTTAGATGGATGACAGGTCCATAAATAAAAGCATATGGGTGCATTGTAATGTGTAATGACCCAAGGGCGCCCCAGGGGAATAACAGACTAACGACCACGAGCATAGGTCCAACAAGCCAGATCAAGAAATTGAAAGAAAGTGTGCTAAATTCGATGCCCCGAGTGGGAATCTAACCCACCTTGGCTGTAGTAGCAACTTGCTTTCAAGAGTCATTACAAATAATAATAATATAATGATTATCTGGTAAGATAATATCTCCTTGAAAGCCATTGGAATTAATGATCTGGAATGGATTCTGGAATGAATGGAAGCAGTTTATCAAATACAAATTATTTTCAGCATCTGCATGGTAGAATTCTCATACAATATGTAAATCCAAGTGGAAAATGATTATGTAATGAAAATGATTGTGTCATTGAAAAAGCAAGATAATTTGTCTCCTTAGGGGAAATTTGGATTAATCATTTCCACAGATTGATGATTGAAAGTGAGTTGATTGTATTTTATAATGGCCCAGGGTGAGTATGTATACATGTACTCCATATCCAACAGTTAAAGATGTAATAAGATGGCAGTTAGAATATTTTATTAGCTTGTACTTAGCACACAGAACAACTCTTTCATTATTTAGCAGCAAAGCTTGTGATTAATACCAGCAAAACACAAAACAGCTAACCTCTGCAATGTTGTCATTTTAGTGGACTTTTTGAAGTCATGTGATCATGAAAGCTCTGATTGATTTACTCACACAACCGTTACACCCTTTGAAAAAATTACGAAATTAGCCCTGAATCATGCAATTATTTGCTCAATGTAAGAGTGAATTACTCATTTTGCAGCAAATTGATTCCTTTTGAAATGCCATTTGACAATCATGTCATGTGACATGAATTCTGCTCTGGATATGAAATCAGTTTTGCAGCAAAAACACACATTTAATGACTTTATTTCCCCTTATATCATATAAAACGAACTGTTGGAAGTGTTGGTGGCTCACCATTGCAAAGAGTGTTTTTTATACAGTAAGGGAGCATATTATAATGTAAACCGAGTAAAATGGTTATATTACATCTTTAAGGCACGTGTGCTTGTGTGGATTCATCCATCATCTACTTTATGATTCCCACTTGACTTTTGTACCCAGTTTTCAAAGAAGATAAATTAATTAGTGAAATATTATCTTGTCCATTGAGGTTTGATTCTGAATGGCTTTTAGATGCTAATATTCAGTGTTACCTCACTTTACTATTATTCTAATTGAATTTTTCCCTTTGAGGATTAAAGTGACAATGAAATGTGTATGTGACTGTTTGAATCAGCTGTTCCTTTTAACACTTTGGTCTTCTCCCCAATTTGTTGAATAAACGCAAGGAGCTCACACATCTCAAACTCACAACCTCACGTTTACGACAAAAGCACCTTACCAAGCATGTTCAGTTTTCTAGACTCTGCTAAAAAAAGGTAATATTGCTTGGGTTTGCCCTGGGAACAGTATTTTGATCCTGCAATTGGCATTTTTCTGAAGATTTTCAGCTCATTGATATCTTATCTCATTATATGGGGTGATATAAAATCTATATTTGTTGTTCAAGGTACAAATAAGTACCAACAAAGTAATTCTAATTCTAAATTTTGAATGTATTTTGTGTTCATAGCTGATTGTGTGTCAATCAGTTCATCAGTTAGAGTTATGGGCTTTGAGGAGGGGAGGAGGGGATTATAAGTATGTTGCATCTACCTTGAAGGGAAATAAAGGGTGAAAATATGTTGAATTATAGCACTCATGAGAGGAGGAGGTTATGATTAATAAAGGTCCCATGCAGTTTCAACTATCTTTGCTTATATTGTAGTATTAATTAATATGTGAAAGTAATATGTTGATGATAAAACTCATTATTCAGGGACTTAAGTATGTTGTAGTTACCATGTTGGGAAGGAGTAAAATTACATTCACTTCTATACCTATACTTATTTGAATTCAGTCTAGAAAAAATGATTTTTTGAACGTAATCTGTCAAAGTATTTAATCGATCTACTACAACAGTGGAAATATTGCCATTGATTTATTCACAGGATTGGATTGAAAATTTGTCAGTTATGGGAGTTATTGTTGTTTTTCTTAAAAATTCTTAGAAAACCTCACAAATTTTTTAACTATAATGTTTCATTTTACTAAGAACATACTCCATGCAATAGATATACCATTTGAGGATAACCTTCAAATCTATTTTAAAGTCCAAAAAATTCATGAAGTAAAAGCTAATGAAAACAGTGCCACATATCATAATCTCAATTAAGTTTTTTCATTAAAATAGTGAAATAAACATTAAATATATTTTTTGTAACCAAAAATAAAATGACCCAACAACTAAAGCTTTCACTTATACTTCCAAAGTAAACATGTAAATATCAAGCAGACACATTGTAACATTTAAAAGATAAAAAGGAAAACATACATTTTATAATATTTTCAATAACTTTAATTTCTAATATTTTTAAAAAGGAAAGGCTATAAGGTTGCTTGCAAATGTTGTGGTATGGATTAGGCTATTTTCTTTGAGAGATTTTCTGATGTTTTCTCAGAAAAAAATCTTTGATCCCCCATAGCAGATAGATAGAATCTTTCAATTCTGCCCCAAATCATTACATCAGGTTTCAAAACACTTTATTTCACCATACAATGAATCACAGATTTCTTTATTAAATATTCACAGTATACAAGAAAAAAAGAAATAAGAAAGGATTATCTCTGAGTATAGCCACGAAAGGAAAGTAACAACACAGTAATCAGGGGCGTAGGAAGGTGTAAATTCAACACTACGCCAAAAATATGAAAAAATTGTGTCAAATCTTAACGAATCAAAACGCCTCTTTTATGCTCGTAAAAGGCAATTTTTATGGTAATACCTTTCTAATTGTGCTTAAAATGTTCGAATGTTTTTCATGATATAAAATCACCATGGAAAGCCGATCTTTTAAATCTCAACAATACAGATTAAAGAAACTAGTATGATCAATAGAAACATGTCCGTGATCAATGATACAACATAACTCTAATGTCTTCAACTTTTTTTATAAGATAAATAAAGCCCATGCAAAAGTCAACGTGACATTTTGTGGTAAATTGTTTTTTCCTTTCAAAATAATTATTGGTGCCTAAATGCTTTATTTCCTAAAATAATAATCTATTATATTTCAAATAAAATAGAAATTAGGGTAATTGCTTTCCTAGAACTGAAGTTGAAATGTACTTTCATTTTTACTGGCTTAAACTTCCAACTATCATAACCCTCTACCCCAAATCACCTTGATTTTTACGCCAAAAAGTGCCATTTATCGTGGCCGAAGCTAGAAAAAAGTAACAGAGGAACAAAAACCTTGCAAAGAGTACTATTGAAAAAATCGAACATATTACATGGTTTCCAAAAACATTTCTTTAGTGTGCTCGAGATCACAAACAATTTATTAACAATGAGGAAATATGACTAAAGAACATAAGGAAATTATTAAGCTATTTCATTCTAGCTTTTCAACACTACGCATTGGTGTTTTGGCGTATATTGTTCCTACGCCACTGGTAATGTACAACAAACATTATCATTATGGCCCCTAGAGTTCTTGGGTATTCTGTTTGACACATCCCCCTCCTTAACCATACAACATACTGTACACATTTATAGTCCATATATGGTTATGTTTTGAACATTTTGACTATATAAATAAACAGAATGTGATACATGAACAGCATAATATACTGAATAAATATGGTTTATAGAACTAGTGCCCTTGTTTCTCATTCAGCCTTTGCTTTTGTTAATATCAAACATTTTTCACTCTTTCTAGCGTCTTTACCTATTTTTGTTATCTCATTCAGCCTTTGCTTTAATATCAAACATTTTTCACTCTTCTAGTGTCTTTACTTATTTTTGTTATCTCATTCAGCCTTTGCTTTAATATCAAACATTTTTCACTCTTCTGGTGTCTTTACCTATTTTTGTTCTCTCATTCAGCCTTTGCTTTAATGTCAAACATTTTTCACTCTTCTAGTGTCTTTACCTATTTTTGTTATCTCATTCAGCCTTTGCTTTAATATCAAACATTTTTCACTCTTCTAGTGTCTTTACCTATTTTTGTTATCTCATTCAGCCTTTGCTTTAATATCAAACATTTTTCACTCTTCCAGTGTCTTTACCTATTTTTGTTATCTAATTCAGCCTTTGCTTTAATATCATACATTTTTCACTCTTCTAGTGTCTTTACCTCTTTTTTTTATCTCATCCATCATTTGCTTCAATATCAAACATTTTACACTCTTTCAAATGTGTAGCATCATTTATAGTAGCATTTACATTTTCATTTTCATGTCTGTAATCTCTGAGTGTCTGCTCAGCTAGGTTAGGGCCATTGTTCATGTTATTTCAGTTTTATATGTCACATGTACCTCTTCCTTTGTACATTTGTGGGAGTAACAATTGTGGTCACTTTCTCAAAATTACTTAAAGTGCTTGTTCGCTTGTGCTTGTTCTTGGCTGTGATGCAGCCACAAAAAGCCATTCAAATGCATGCATCTTGCATTGCTTTAGAAGCGTGATATAGTTCAATGCATCATACTTCTTTCTTTGTTGTATCATTTCCCAAACCTTGTAGATTAGTTGGTCTCTACCTATATGGTTCTTGGACAAACTTTTCTATGCTTCTTTGTTGTTGTTCCATATAGTTTGAGTCATTATCAGTATTATTATTATACTTTATAAAAACTGGGCAGCATCCAATAATCAAACATAACTTCTGAAAAATAAAAAAGATACACAATTTAAGTAAAATATGTCATTGTTATCGGACATTTTAATGAAACAAAATGGCAAATTAAATGAGTGATGAAATGTGTGTTAAGCTTACACATGTAGTTACTTTTGTAAGCAATAGAAGGACGTCTGTGAAGCTCCAAGTATTCTTGGCTACCCATCTATTCTGACTCTTGCCGAAGTATTCTGACCTGACCCAAGTATTCTGAGTTGACTTATTATTTCGAATACACTCGATAGATGTCCATGTTAGTTTTTTAATCATTTTGTGGTTGGATTTATTTTATTAAAAATGTGGCTCCTGTTATTCTGGTGGTAGAGTTTTATATTTTTACTTCATTATGTTATACGTTACGTTACGTCATATTACGGCTTCACCACTGGTTGGTATTTTTACTTTTATATAAGTAATTTCAGGTTCCGACTTCCATATGTTTTTATAAAAGGCAGTTTCCTATCATATATAATGGTCACTATGAATAAAAAATCTTATTGATCGTGGATTGTTACAATAACATTTTAAAGGTAGGTGTGTGATGTTGTTCTTTGTGCGTTAACCAGAATTATATTGGGAATTCTTTTTCTTTACTATGACTGATTCTTATCAATAATTGCTAGTCTAGAAGTGGTGGGTGGCATATTGTAATAGTCTCTAACTTTCTTGTGGACGGTGTTCGTCGGTTGGTTATCGGCGTTCGGCGTCTATAACAAATTCCAGGTTATGACATTTTGCATGTTAACTCCTTTTCAAAATACGTCGTTGTCCATATCACTAGCCAAGTTAGTGTCATAAAATCATAATGTGGAAATTATTCATTGTTACTGTGTAGGATTTTTGTTTGCACACTATTCATTTATATTTATTTGCACGAATAAATTTGGTCTAAACTTACGTAAAAAGTAAAAAACGCACAGAAGATACACAGTGGCTGTAAACGATATATACGTATCAGGGACGGATCTGAAAATCAAGAGAATGAGGTCCCAAATCTGAAAATTTGAACCCATTTTTATAAACAAGGGAAAAATTGTAAATGATGCACATTGAAAACGATGCACAGTAATGTCAGTTTGTTGCCTAAATTGCCCAATATATGGGGAGAAGCAGATTCTTGGACATCACTTTTTGCCCCATCCCCCCCAACCCCCAATGTTCGCCATTACATTTCCGTGCGATTGCTTAAATCAATGATATCCAACGTTTTACATAGCGAGTTTATAAGCGGTTTCCTAACATTAATCTCAGGAGCCATCTATTGTGTATAATAGAATCCATCGATAAAATATTTTTAAAAAAAACTAACGTGGACATCTATCGAGTGCATTCAAAAAAATAAGTCAACTCAGAATACTTGGGCCAGGTCAGAATACTTCGGCAAGAGTCAGAATAGATGGGTAGCCAAGAATACTTGGGCTTTGACAGATGTGCGTCATTGCTTCAAGCCATACTTATGTTTATTCAAGACCCATATCATTCTTTTGATCGAGTCTTATTAGTTATCTGACACATTGCTATTTCAGAGAAAATAATTTATTGCTCAATTGTTATTAAATGTCTTTGAGAAATTCAGCGCAATAATTTAATAGGTATTCTTATTGCTATTTTAATTTTTCATTTCTATCAAGTCATATATTTTCATTTTATCATGAATAAGTTCCAGGCAGGATATCATTGAGACAACAACCTCTCCATATGGAATACTTAAAGCATTGAATATACAGTCAAGCATAGAATCCCGAGAAAACATGGCTAATTTTTTATCGGCCCAAATAAATGAAAAGCACTATTTGAGATAAATTAATGATATAACAACTATAATAACAATTAATGATATAACTAATTACTTATCTATCTGTTTTACTGATAATTTAAAAACTTAAATTCACACTAAATTAATTTTAACAAAGACAAATGAATGCTAGATGCGATCTTTAAGGATTGCCTACCCACTTGATTTTTTGAAACCCAATTTTTCACATAATTTCTTCCATCATTAATCTTGTAAAATCATACATCAGCTACTTAAGAAAACAATTTCTTTTGGCATTACATGTTCTTAAATTACATGTTTGTATATCTTCAAACATATTGGAACCATCTGTATAGGTCTTCCTGATGACTGTTGCGAATTATCTTGTCAGTCTAGTGGACTGTTATGATGGCATAATTAAACACATCATTAAATTTAATCATAATAATCAAAAATTAACTTAATTTCCCTGCACCAATATATCCATGCAATTTACACATTTACTTAACTATATTATTTATATCATGCAGGTTTTCATTCAAAATACTCTTCATTCACTGGTCAGTATCAAGCAAAGGTAAAGGCCGTAACTTTCACATCAAAGATGGTGGATGGTAAGTGTCGATTTCAATATTTTTAGCGTTCATCGAATTAAAGTATGTTATAGTTGACATAATGCTTTGATATTTGAATTATATCAGGCATATATGACATGGAAACTCTGGAGTATGATCATTTGTTCATATATCATGCATAGGCAACACAGTTCAAGGATATCTTCCATCGCTTAAGGGAAGGTAACTGGGATTTTGGTTTTACAGATGATAAGATAACTGATATGTGGTGTTGGGTAATGTTATAAGAGTCTATAATGGAGAGCTAAGATGTCCAGTCACAGCGTATTGAAAACTAACATGACCATTACTGTATCATACATTTCCAGTTACCTTCCTTTAAGTGGTTGAAGATATCATTGAACTGTGGCGCTGTTTAAGCTGAACAAACATATCAGGTCTTAAATGATTAATCTAATGTGAAATGCTATTGTAAGGATACTGTGTTATCATTGATGAAAACTGAGATCTATTGAAATTGATAAAAACCAAGTAGCCTGAAAAAGAATGGCTTATGAAATTTACAAGAAGCTAAAGTAGAGACTTGCTGGTGAAAGTTTTAATCTGAATGCATAATGCAATCTATGGTGCTTTCCTGTAACCAAAATACAAGAATTATGCAAAATTATATTTTGAAGGATTCATCTACATATACAGATTAATTATTAATATACATTAAAAGGTTCATCTGTCTTCATCCACCTGTCCAAGTGCTTCATGTTACTTTGAGAATAACCCCTGCCCTAACATGAACTTTTCAAAGCATGCTGTCATTTGAGAAAACACATTGTTTGGTGGGATTCGCTGCTCTGTAGAGTTGCTGTTTTTCTCACTTACATTTTACACTAAGCCATCTTATTTAGACAATCTAGGTTGCGAAGAAGGATTAGGCAACATCTAAGCAAATGCCATAGACCTTTAACATTTTATTCATAAAGAAGGGCTTTAACACCATTTTCCTTTCTTTATCACTGACTGTTAATTCAAACCCTACTTTATGGAGTTTTGAGAATTAACACTGAGCATGAAAAATATCTTTTTCCTGTTCTGTAAGACTTAATAACTTTAACTGTTGCTGTGTATAGACAAATTTATTAGTGACATTGTCATTTTGTGTTAATTTAAGCAATGCTGTAGTGAATCTAACAAAATTGCTTTTTATTTAGAGTATTTGAATTGAAAATGCATTGGTTAATTTAGTGTTAGCTGTAGGTCTATGTTATTTTACTATATAAGCTGAAAGCATACCTGCACACTCAGTTTATACCTCACTGGTAGATGTCATGGCAGAAAATTTATATTCTGAACCAGTCTTGTCGCTCTGTAGTTTTTGGACTCGGAATCTATTCATCAAGCATTTGCAGCTTTGTAGTGCAGTGTGTACAGACTTACGGAATGGCACCAGTGCTATGTAGTATAAGGTAAAGTTAATGGTGAAATTGAGTGCCTGTATTGTGTTAAGAACAATGATGGCAATTTCAGTCCTGTTGAAATCTGATACATTCTCTTCACTCATCCCATCATTAGATTCGTTCATCAGTTTCTTGAAAGTCGCGTGAAAGTGTAGCATATCTGCTGGGGTTACTAGCACCAAGAAAAAGATGACAATTACAATAAGCGTGATGGTCAGTCTCTTTGTAGAATCTGACTGGTGTGTGTTGGTATGTGTTGAATTTGTCACGTTACTTTGTTGCCATCTTTGAGAGCGCATTAGTGCCATTATTAGCAACACATTACTGACAAGGAGGATGATAAAAGGTGCCACACAATTTATCAAACTGCCCAGGATTTTGTACACGTATGATTCAGAAACAATGAGCCGATCATGGTGCTGGGTCGAGAGATAAACCATATCTAAAGTTCCATTCTCCCAAGTGCAGACATGTCCCTGTATGTGTAGAGCTAAGAACCTGGGTAGGGTGAAAATGATCGAGACGATTGCAATGATGATTACAGCAATTATGACGCTTTTAACATTGATTCTTGCCTCAGCATGTAGAGGGTCACAAACCACCAAGCATCGACTAACTGCAATAAGTACGGTTAGCCATGTGCTGGACATCACAAATAAGTTAACAAATCCATTGTGGTATGTTTCATATATCATCAAATGTCTGTCTAGTGATACAGTATTGGGGAAAAATGCCTTCGGAAAATGAGACAAACAGTATAATAAATCAGATGTAGCGAGTGCCACTAATCCAATGTGTGATGATAGTTCCAGTGGCTTCAACTTATGATGCATTTTCTTTTGGCTGAGAATCAAAAGTGTGAAGAGATTGCCAAAGATTCCTATGGCCATAATAATAGGGAGGACTAATTGACTAAAGATGTCACGGATGATGTTTACTGTTGAACTGCTTTCTGGATGGCGTAGATTGTAGAGGTGTTCTGTTAATTGTGGTAAAAGGAAGTCACTACATGCCTCTGGTAATATTGTCTCATTCATAATGCTGGTTGCATTTGACTGCATTGTTGGAGAACCTAAAAAACATAAAAACAAATTAAATCACAAAAATATAACTTAAAGCAGTTATATACCCAGATGTAACAATTGATTGTATATAATTGTATAAGTATCATATGTTTTATTGATTGATTTCAAAAGATTAATGTCATTGACTTCATTTTTGGTTTAAGTTATAAATCACCCATATTTGGGTAATAGGTAGGAGGGTAGGCCAAAGAGGATTGATTATATGCAAAACTGAATGACATACTCTGGATATTTAAATAACTAAACTTAATTATTAGGTCATCAACTTTGTCTTCTTTATTATTTCTCTCTGAAAAATACAAGTTCTATAGGTTTTCGTAGAATACCTTAACGTAAATAATGTGGCAGTGTGCATCAGAAATATATTAGAAATGCCATTACTAGGTATATTATTTGAACCTGTATGAACTAAAATAACCCTTTTGTAAAAAGTGTGATATCACAAGTTTTGGTACACTGGTCAAATCATTCCTCTTCTGCTATAATATGGACACATAATTTGCCAGTGTGTAACTACCTTACTAAAGGAAACAAATCAAGCCAAATACTTATGAAGCTATACTTCTCCATTTTATGATGGTAGGCATCTGTACAAATGACACAATGCATTTTCACTTAAATGTTATAAAATGAGATAAATAAAACTAAAAAACAAGTTTATTGTTGGAGTTATCATGATTATCCTGATTTTCTTTCTTCACATTAACAAATATTTATTTTTTAATTTTAGGTAAGTGGTTGCATTTTAATGGGTGTATGTAAGATCAAGTGGCTGTAACAGGTATGTGGAATACTTTTTTAATTAACATTGCTTTGAGGTAAAGCTAGAGCAATTTTTCAAAATATCCTATACCTTAAATTCTTCTTTAAAGTTGGCTTTGAAGAAGGTTTTAGGTTGTGAGTTTCTGGCAAATTCTGTACCCAGATCTACACCCTGATTTTGATAACAATTTGTGTTCTTATCAGTTATTAAAAACATGCGAATTTATTGAAAAAATTAATTTGCAAGCAATTGGTGCAATATTAGTGCTACACATAAGCATTAAATGTGCTTTTTGCTAAATTAAATTAGCTGGTTTTTAAATTAACTAAGCTAGTTTTTTCGGCTTTGTATAAAAATCTCCTTCCTCATACCCACCAACCCACCTACGTGGACCATGATACAGTCATTGAAGGGTTCAATTTCAAATATTTTTAAATCTCAAAATGATTTTCACTTTTCATCAACTTTGAAATTAACTCCAACTCTTCAAAGTTGGGGTTATCTTTAAGGTAAAATTTTGTATGGAAATCTTGGAGTAGCCTACAAAGATACTTCTAAGATTAAAACATATCAATTTTATTAATATACAGAACTACACAAATCTGTTATTTCACACACTTTAAAATAACATTACAACTAAACTAAAGAAAAACGGCAACAAAGCATTTGTATGGAAGTCAATGGGAAATTTACAGCAACCTAGCTGATTATACGTCTGAGATATACAAATATCTATATTTCACACACTCAGTTCAACTAAAGAGTTATGTCAACCTAGTTGACTACATTTTAAATAAAAATGCAACTAACGAGTTATGGCAACCTAGGTGACTATGTGTCTGAGTAATTTCACACACTTAGAATAACAGTAAAAAGAGTTACGACAACCTACATTTTAAATAACAGTGCAACTAACAAGTTATGACAACCTATGAGACTTAACGTCTGAGATATTAATACAATTAATGAGTATGAAGATAAACCTATATCATTGTAGTTTCATTATCTATGATAAATTGGGAAAACTCTTCATACAAATATTACTTTCCTTTGAATGGTTTTATGTCACCTCCACAAGTGCTGACATATATTGTTATAGTCTTCAAATTTTTTAAAAGTGTTTCGGGTGGTCAGCATTTGCATATGTGGTGACATTTGCATATTAATGCCTTGTTTAATGCATGTTTAATGGTATGTATGTTACTTAAGTGAATGCAGATTCAACTTAATCAAAACAAGTCAAACATACTTATTTTTCCCAAACACTAAACAATAAAATTGAATTCATATTATTATTAAAATAACATTTTAGCCCCATCTATCTTTTTGAAAAAATAGAAAACACACTGATGGTGGACTGTAATGCTGGAATAAGCTACTTGTATAATGAATATGAATATTCTAATAATATAGCTGTCATTCACTAGCTATATGTCTTAATTCTAAGAATGTTATATTTACCTGCTAAGTTAAACGAGATACATATGCAATAAAGAGAATGTGATGTTAATCAACTAAATCTTGTAAATCTTACATATTAGGTCATTAACTTTATTTATTGGGTCACCCAGACTTTTAGATACTGAGACTGAGGTTTGTAATTGAGCCATAAAGCTCTTTCATGATGTTTGTCTCGTCTTTGACTGATTAATTGTATTCTGATTTTAGACTTGCATGTCTCTATGTTATATATTGAGGTGTGTTCTTTCATGGGTCACCTTTGTAATTTACACTCTATTAATTTGAGAGTCAACATTTGAACAAGAGCAAAACACTCACCCTCATAAGGCATTTGTTATTGTACTTATAGATTTTTAACTTGAAATATTGAGTATGTAAACCTCAGTGGTAAAATTGAAGAAAAAGAACTAAAGCATATTACAACAAGGAACAATCTAATCCCAACCCATTATAAAGAAAACAAGCCCAAATTTACAATTGGATGGAAAACAATTAATAATACTATTATTTTAATGTTAAAAATGATACAGCTAGTCTCAAATGCATTTAAAATGAAAATTGGTACTTATTTAACTAGCTTATCTCTTGTAGACCCTAATAGTTTAAATGTAAGTTCTCATTAGCCAGGCTTTATTCAAATTTGAAAGGCTCTAAATAATCCTGAGGTTATATTTGTCACACATTTTGAAAGTACTATTTTGTTGTTGTCTTAATGGGTATGCATATGTGCATATGTTTGTCTGTCAGGGTAGAGGCGGGGGGAGGGTGTCATTGACCAAACCTTGCCATTTTTATTCCAGGAAAACAGATTACATGTTCAACCTGAAATGTTTACAGATACAAAAGCAGATTTGTGTCATGATCTGTTTTCAGCCTATTTTGTTCAGCACACAAAATAAGGGTTAATGCATGAGATATAAAAGTTACCAAAATATCTATATCAACTTAATGAATATTGGAATGAAAATGACCTTCAGAAAATGTGATACTCAAGTCATGAAAATACAAATACAAGTTAAAGAACTGTTATCATACTCACATCCTATAATTTGAAGGATCGGGTAAACAACACCAGCATCCCAAAACCATAATTGTCTCTTCTGTTTAAGATAAATCTTAGAATAAACCCTAGAACTGTAATGGGAATTAATTTTTTTGACCGAATCCCTTCTAGGGTAGACTTATATAAAGTTTAACATCTCATTGCATTTCTAAAAACAAAATCTTTTTCACAATTGAAAACTTAGAAATATTATATCCATTCCAGTTGAAACTTATACTAATTTGATTCAACCTCACATGTTATTTCACTTAGTTAATATAAAACTCAGCATTCAAGCTGGTGTTTCTTGAATGCTGGAAATGTCAGATGTGAAGTTTATTTATTTTAGCCATGTATAGCTAAAACATTTCTACAACTTACCTACACCTTGCACTTACTTCCTTTACATTTAACAATATCTTCCTGAATCCCAACTGGCTTTTTCATTTTACCAGCTTTTGACATTTTATTACATGTACTTGTATAAACAACAGATGATACTCAATTTAGTGAGATTGGTCAGAAGAGATTATTGCTATATATTTCAAAACATTTTTTTGTAAATTAGATGAAAATTAATCAAACAAGAGCAATTCTAGTGAGAAATTTGTGACAGATTATCATCACTCTAGGTTTCAAAGTCATTTTTCAAGTGACAGGAAATCTCATCACTCTAGGTAGTCAAAAGGTTGAACCATATGTAAGCACAATGCATAAAAATGGGAAGGACTTGAAGTATTTCAAGAAGATCATGCTTAGAAAGATAAGAATGTTATCCACTTTAAGGAAAAATCCCAAATAACCCAACTCAAAATCTAGAGAGTGGCTCGTAGAGAGGAGAGAGTACTCAAGTACAAATACATCAGATGCTATTTTTTCACCTCATAATTTTTATACAGAACCAGTGCTCTCCTTAAGGCAAAATTAGTCACAGGACCAACGGACTGACAAGTCAGAAGAGTTCACCAGTCCAGACCAAAGGTAGCCAGTCCCTGGACTGACTACTTCTAATTAGTAGCAAGTCCAGACTGGTTCTTGCCAGTCCAGGAAAAAATGAAAAATCGGAGTAACATTCAAATTTTACATAGGCCTACTCGTATTTATGTTGTACATGTATTTTCTCATTCTCAGCGATCCAGATAGACTGTCAAACACATTGAATTTGCTTGCATGTATTTTTTACGATTTCGCCAGGTGAAGAGTACTCACGAAATGAAATGATGGTGAAAAAATTATACTTTACAACAAATCTAAAAATACTGGAGCCACCCGGGAATTTGATTGTGTTATGAATTTTGGGGGTCATTTTTATGTCCATTAATATATCAATGCCTTACCTGATTTTCATTAATTCCTGCATTGAATTACCCTTAAGAAAAAAGCCATGGTAACCATGGTATTCCATGGTGCGCCCATGGTAATCCATGGAAATTCATGGTTTTCCATGTTATTTTCCATGGAAATTCATGGACGCCCATGGTAATCTTCCATGGATATTTACCATGATTTTTCGTGGTAATTGGTGGTTTGATAATTGGTTTTTACCATGACACATGGGGATGTAAAATCAACAATTTGGGTAGGATTTGTATTTACCAAAATCTCCAAAATGAATGTTTTGATGATATATCCCAATTGGACTTAGACTTATCTTTGAGAAAAAAGGGTGGACATTTCATTTTTTAGGTTTAGCAAGAACATTCATTGAAATATGATAGTGC